GCTCTCTACGAACGATACGATCAAGCAACTCATCGAGAGCCCCCCTTGATAGTACGGCAATCGATCCTATAAATCGGTCTCCCACAACTACCATGAGACCGGTAAAATAGAAAACCTATCAAGGGCAAACCTTTGCCTTGCACATGGTCCACTTGAGCTAGATGATGACGATCTTGACTCCCTCAAGTTAGACCACCTTTCTTGATTGCTTGGCTCGAAGAAGACTAGTTGATTGCTCCCCCATACTCCACTATGGGTGAGCCACTTTTCTGCACATCTTCACAAGTCCATTGTCGCCACAATGAACGGCAAGCTTCAAGCATATGATCTCTTCGTGATGATTCAACTTGAGCTTGCACACCACAACCTAACCCCACAAAGAACTCTCACGAAGACCATGGGTTAGTACACAAAGCGTAATTGACCATGCTTACCATATCATGGGATCGCTTGATCCCTCAGTACATCTTGTGCGCTTTGTGTGTTGAATCTTTCCAACTCTCTTCATTTGGACGATGTCTTGAAGATGGACATGAATGATCACACAATCTTCTTCTTCAAGACATGCTTGCAATAAGCTCAACACTCGCATCATCAATCTTTGGATAATTCCTTAATAGCACCTTGGTCAACACATAAACTCCTTGAAACCAACACATGGACTTCAAGAAAATCCTATGGACAAATCCTTCAAATATAATTCAAGACAACCATTAGTCCATAGAGATTGTCATCAATTACCAAAACCAAACATGGGGGCACCACATGTTCTTTCAAGGTTCACGGCCCTGCCATAGTCGCCGCAAAGCCGCCGCCGGCAGAAGTGTGAGATTGGGGATTTTCCAAGGGTTAGGGATGCGGGTGTGCATGATTCATGATTCAGGTAACAAGTGGCTAAATGCCGGTTCAGGCGTTTTTTTTTTGAGATTCGCTATGAGGTCGGGGGTGTTTCTGCAAACTTGCCACGCGCCAGCCACTTCGTACCGCTTCCAGCCGCTGCCACTGGGCCCCGCGAGTCAGGATACGACAGCACCTGTGTTTTGAACCGTACGTGCTCGCACAAACAAGTTTTGGCACCACTTCATTTACCTCTTCCATAATATAAGAAAGTTTTTTGACATTAGCGTAGTGTTAAAAACGTTCTTATATTTTAGGACAAAGGAAGTAGTTACTAGTCCCTCTAGACCAGGGGGAAAAACTTAAAACAGTCCTCTCAAATCCCTTTGAAACATTTACGGACACGTCGAACAAAAAAAATGATACAACCAGATCCCTCATATTATTTCTACACATTTGGGCTTGCGGACGTGTCCGCCACGGCCCACCTCACACCACATTTCCTTCTTTATATTTTTTCTTTTCATGTTCACCAATAACATGCAATTGACTAGATATATAAGAGCAACTCTAGCAGACCCCGCAAAACTCCCGGCCCGCAAAAATTCCGGCGAGTATACGGGCTCAGCCCAATTTTCCGGTCAAAACAAAGCCCGCATACTCGCCCGGCCCACAATTTTTTTTGCCGCAACCTGCAAACCGCACGCCCCGAGCAGTATAACTGTTGTTCCGCGACCCTTTTGCGGGTCCAAACCCTATCCCCCCACCGCCGTGAGCCACCCGATTCCCCTTTCCCCTCTCCCAATTTCTCGCCGCCGGCGACCACCCGCCCCGCCTCCAGCCGCCATGTGGGGGCGAATGTGGAGCTCCGGACGCGGCTCCGACAGCAGATCAGGCCGTGAGAGGGACCCGGAGCGCGAGCGGCGTGTCCGCCGCGGATGTCGCTGCCGGCGAGCTTCAACCGCCGCGAGATGGAGGAGTACGACCGCCGTAGCGCGTCCTTCTGCTCCGTGAGATCTTCCTACGCCGGATCCTCCTCGTCCTCCGGTGCGGGCTTTCTCCCCATGAAGAGGGAGTGGTCTGAGGACGAGGAGGAGCTGGAGGAGCCGACGCCGTTCGCCTTCGTCCCGGTGAAGGAGGAGCCTGAGGAGCCTGCTCCGCTCGGCCGCCGCGGAGTGGTCGTGCCTGAGGACTACGTCGCGGACTTCGCCGCCGTTGCTGCCGCCATCGCCGAGCGGAGCGTGCGCGAGGAGGCGGAGCGCCGGAGCCACGCCGAGGAGCTCGAAGCCCTCCAGTGGCAGCAGACGGTCGCCGCCAACGAGAAGGCTGAGGAGTGGCGCCGCATCCGCGCGGAGCAGGCAGCGAAGTACATCAACCTGTGCAGCTCCGGCGAGGAGGATTGAGCGTCGCTCGGCCTCCACGGCATCGTCCATTTTGCCGCGACCTCGCCATCGTCAGATCCGACCCCCTCTACTACTAGTTAACGTAGCATGTAGTATGTTCTATGTTTAATTTGTTGGTCAACTAGTATGCATAAACTCTGTAGTATGCGATGTGATGAACTATGTTTGCGCAATTTCTCCCGCGAAAGTGTTTCTTCAAATTATTCAGGTTTAGATACGGTATCTGATCGGCCGCGCATGTTTTTGACCCGCAAACGCCATCTTCGTAAAACCGCAAACGCGTTTTGCGGGTCGAATTTTGCGGGGTCTGCTAGAGTTGCTCTAAGAAAGAAAATGAAAAGCATGACTATGTATGGACAAATATGACTTAATATGGACACGACCGGATACTAACCAGGCGCGTCTGAGGACGTTTAGGGGACGGATTTGCTAAGACCGGCCAGATGATTTTAGATTGCTATATACTAGTATGATACTCCAGTTTGCGATATTTTCTGTTTCACACATATTACAGGTCAGACTAGGAGTTTTCTGAACCAAGAACGTGTAAAATTAGTCATGTGATTCTGACTATTCGTCCAGAAAAGAAGAGGCCAAAATGGTCCGAAAATGTTTGACTCTGTTCTGAACAACAAGATCTGATGTCTGACCACACCTAAAATTTGCCAATTTTTACGGTGGAACGGAACCGAGAAGAGAAGACGCGCGGCGACAAATTACTCCTCCAGAAACATGGGGAAAAGGCGACGCGCGCGCGGGTAACAGGGAATGCCCCCCTTCTTCCTCCCACGGCTCCGTTTGGGTTTGACCTCATCTGACCTGACCAACCGCCGCCCCCTCCCCTCCACGCCCCCCCACTCCCCACCATTTCCTCCCGTTCCTCGTCAACCGCACGTCTGCGCCGGCAGCCTCAGGCAAAGGCAATCACGAGAAGGACGCGCCGGTGACACACAGCCGGGCAGCCGGCCGGCGGTTTCTCAGACTGCCACCACCGCGTTGCAAAAATAGTAACGTACGTTCTCTCTTGCTCTTTCTCCTACCTAGTAGTATTATTAGGCCGCGTCCATTTGGCATCTTTCCCGCCGCGCGCTTCCATTCCATTCCATGGAACGAGAGTCATCGCCACTCATTCATTCACCAAGGTTTCTCCTCTTTTCTTCCTCCTCCATGGCTAAGCCTGTCCTCTTTTCTTCTGTTTCATCTGTATATGCTTTGTCCCGTGGTATTGATCCGGTTCTCATCTACACTCCTGCGGTATCCAGTGGAGAATTGAACTTGATCATTCGTAAATCGTAATTGTGGTTTGGTATCCGCGCTTGTCATTTTGAACTCTTCCTGCATGCTGCAGTTCACCGATTTTTCTATGAATACTTTACTTTAATTTATGTTCTCTTGGGGGCATCGATCGACCCCCCTCTGCTTTGGACGCTTCCAAGGCCAAAACGGCTGCCTCGGGGAATCAGTGTGGTCTCCTTCCCCCCCTTCTTGGTTTTGGCGTGTAATTGGACAGACAATAATACCAAATATCGCACTCTGTTACGAATTTAAAAAGTGCAACTCCGTTTGTTTGTTCCTGTTGTACACTTGTACTATCTAACATTTTTTTCTCAAAAGTTTCAATTTTTATGTTTATTACAGTTCCTAGAGCCTGCCTCACCTTACCACTTGCTGGATGGTTCCAAAGAGCTGTTAAACACAGCTCTATGCTGTTTCATGACAGCTTTGGTTTGAGCTGGTTAATCTATTCAATTTGGAACTTTTCCTAATTACTTGGAAAAGGCTGGTCAACCTCCATCGCCTTCTATACCTTGAGCTTGCCAACATAATTTACAAGACCTATTACACACATACACACTTCCCTTCTCTCGACGAAAAAAAGGCGATATCTTGTCTCAAGGAATTCTTTTTCCATTTGTAGCTAGGCCTTTTGGCTTCATACGTTTGGTTGCCATTCCAAATATATGATCAGAGTTTCTTTGCAACGGCGGTTTAGTTCTTGCGAGGAATCAGGATGCAGGTTGTTACAACATGATTGCTAGTGTGCTAACAAATGTGTGAATTCCACGGGTAGTCATGTCATGTCCATATCACATTGTTTTGAGGAGTTTACTTTCTGCGGTTTCCTTTCGTTATCATTGGTTTGTTGAAATTTTCTGAAACTTGTTTTTGTGCCGTGACCGTGGCAGCAGCACTAGCATCGCCCCAGTTGGAACTTCCAATGGCTGCTTTAAATTTCTTCAGGTCAACTTCTACTATTCCATTGAATTGATTGCATCAAAGAAGACTAGGACACCTATTTCTTTATTTTTATTCAAATAAACATATTTCTTTCTTTCTTTCAAGGTATAGATTCTTCCTTCTTATAAGTGGGGTACACATGCTTTGCTATCGTCTGAGCGACCGCGACACCAATTTTGTATGATTGTTCCATTTGGTGTTTTGTCTATGAATGCTCAAATAATTACCAATATATTTGGTATTTGAGGGAATGGGTTCTCCTTTTTGAAATCAGTCCTTGCTTGTTCCTTTCTTTTCTGATAGGCTGGTCCTATTTAAATAGTATACTCCTGGACAGTTGTTGCTTGTCCTGTTTCTTAGTTTGGCTTTGAACAACTTTTGGTGGCTGTGTTTCAGAAGAACAAGCCTTAGATTGTTGGTTTCACCATGGAAACAAGGAAATTTCCATCTGCCTGACTTATTCTAGGAACACTTTTTCAGGAATTAGATTAGGTCTCCTCTGCTAAGTAATTGCTTTGGCACATGAGCCATTCATTTGATGCTGGAAGAAGAAGCTGGGCTCAGAAAATGGACCAGAAAACCAACAGGAGGAAGAAGGTAACGTCTATTCATTTGATGCAGTAGATGAATGGGCTGCAAGTTCCATCAATCCAGATAATTATCACTCAATTTAACTCTTCTCCTTCTTCAGTCTCCCTTTGGAAGGATTCCTACTGTGAAGGGTAGGAACTCTTCATCGAGGTACGGTGCTGAGCACTCTATGAACACTACAGGTAGGTTCTCAAGTTTAGAACATTATTACATTTTTCGATGAAGCAAAGTCACCGTGTTTCTCTCTTCTGCAATTCATGATAAGATCAACCCATTCCCATGTGTGATGTGGAAAGTTGAAGCCTGACCTGGGGCATGGTTATCATGCAAAGTTCATCTTTGGTTAAGACTAAAAAGCAATCCAAGATGCTAATTTTGTGTGAAGGTGCTAAAGTAATTCGGTGTTTGCATTTTTTTTTCAGTTGATTTGAGAGAGAGTCCAGAGCACTCACCGATGGCTTCGCCTTCAGCATCATCTTCATCCTTCTTCAAAAGTACAAGCCTAAAATTCAGCAACTACAGTTCTCCTGTATCAACCAGCACGCATATTGAGTCTTTTAGGTACACTCACGAGTTTTTATCAACCAGCACACTTCACGCTGCAAATAAGTTTGTATTTCTGTGTGACGATCAAATTCAGATAGTTTTCCTCCTTGGGTGGTCTGTGTTTCACAGGGTATTTGCAGCAACATGGAACGTCGCCGGAAAGACTCCAGATATGGAGCTGAATCTGAATGACTTCCTGCCTTCTGATGACCATTCAGATGTTTATGTTCTAGGGTATGTTACAAGATATCATAATTTTGCACAATCTTCTATCTCTTGTCAGATGGAGAACAACATTGGACTTGGACAGCTTTGATTTAGGGCCACATCATTGTCAATTCATTAACACACACGAGCTCTGCGTGTTTGCGTAGACGAAGACATTGCCACTTTCAGTTCCTCTGCACCACAAACAATTTCATCACATCTCCTGTTGTTGAACTGTGTGTATTATGCAAATTATTGGCATGTTTTCTTGTGGGGTTCTTTTGCTTGAAAGGTGCTATTCTTCTGAAAGCTATGTTTCAACTAACACAACCAGTTGCTACCTCTGAATTTTTTGCTTCCAGAAATTTCAGATAACAAGTATAGACACTATTGTATTTGAAGTTTTAAACAATGGAAAATATGAAATATTCTGAGAAATGAGAAGAACCCGGTGAACGTTTATTATCTCACCAATTTCGTAGATATTGTTTCAAGAACTTTGAAGTTTCAGTTTCACAGAATTTGCACCGGATACATGGCAAGATTGCTTTGGTAGTACCATCAGTTTCAAGTGCAATTAATCTCAGTTACTCGAAAGCTTAATATGCTGCAATGGTGATGCAGATTCCAAGAGGTCGTCCCTCTCAACGCCGGGAACGTGCTTGTGATCGAGGACAACGAGCCGGCGTCGAGATGGCTCGCGCTCATCAACCAGGCGCTCAACCGGACTTCGTCGTCGCCGCCGGCTAGCCGGTCCTTCAGCCAGTCCGCCTCTCCTGCTTCGGCACTCCACACGGCGAGCTCCAGCCCGCTCGACCCATCGCAGTTTCATAAGAATGGGTCCTCCCCCAGAGAGGTTCGCCGCGCCGCCATCACCCGCGGTCGCCGGCTCAAGTCATGCACTTGCCCCACAGAGAGGCCGCCCCGGCGCCGGCCGTACTCCAAATCGTCGTCGTCCTGCCTGATGATGCGCTGCGGCAGCAGCAAAAACCGGCGCCGGTATGCTGTCGAGGGCGACACGACGACGTCAGACGAGGAGGACATGGACGTCGTCGTGGACGGCGGTGGGGAGGCATCGTCCATGGCGTCCGACGCCACGCTGTTGCTGCAGCCGGCGGCGGCGAACCTGCAGAGGAGGTACTGCCTGGTGGCGTGCAAGCAGATGGTGGGTCTCTTCGCAACGGTGTGGGCGCGGCGGGAGCTGGTGGCGCACATCGGCCACGTCCGGCTCAGCTGCGTCGGCCGCGGCATCATGGGCCGCCTTGGCAACAAAGGGTGCATCTCCGTGAGCATGTCGCTGCACCAGACGTCCCTCTGCTTCGTGTGCAGCCACCTCGCCTCTGGCGAGAAGGACGGCGACGAGCTCCGCCGCAACTCCGACGTCGTCGAGATCCTCAAGAACACCCAGTTCCGCCGCGTCTGCAAGCGCTCCGGCCGGCGCATCCCGGAACGAATCCTCGACCACGAGTACGTCAGTCTCTCATCACCGCTGATTCGATTCTTGCATCGGATTCTGCCATTAATCTCGAGCAATTCGGTTTGTGCAGTCGCGTGATCTGGCTCGGCGACCTGAATTACCGGATCGCGCTGAGCTACGCGGAGGCGAAGAAGTTGGTGGACACCGGCGATTGGGCGGCGCTGTTCGAGAAGGATCAGCTCAAGACGGAGAGGGAGGGCGGGGTGTTCCGCGGGTGGAGCGAGGGCGTCATCTCCTTCGCGCCGACGTACAAGTACTCGTGGAACTCCGACAGCTACTACGTAGGCGAGGACGACGACGGCGCGGCGTCGAAGAAGAAGACGAAGCGGAGGACGCCGGCGTGGTGCGACCGGATCCTTTGGCGCGGCGACGGGATCGTGCAGGTGGCGTACGTCCGCGGGGAGTCCAAGTTCTCCGACCACCGCCCCGTGTGCGGTGCATTCATCGTCGAGATCGCCGTCCTCGACGGCGCGGCCAAGATGGTGAAGCTCGTCGCGGCAACCGCCAGCATGAAGGTCGGAGCGGAGGAGCTCCTCCTACCTCGGCAACCGTAGCGAGAATCAGCCATCGATTTGCGCAAGTTGGGGCCAAAGAAGCTCATCGCATCGCATCTCGTTGCGTACGCCACTGATAATCTAGGAGATAGGTCGGCGCGTACTGATGCGTGAACCGCTGTTGTTTCTTTGTGCTTTCAAGATTCAGTTCTGACGCCAAATGCTATAGAAACTAAATCGCTCTCTCTGACACCAAATGTTTCCCTAGACTAAATCACTCAGCTCTAATCTGCATCTCTGAACTGAATGTGTGTAACTAGTTTACAGAAAACATTTTCATATATTAATTATACAAAAAAAAAACAATGTTGGGAGACTATTCTCTTAAAACCCAATTTGGGATCAATTGTCCATTTGTCAACGACAGGATGCATCAATTGCCCTGTTTTAAAACTGACTTTTAGAAGATGGTTTGATTTACACTAGCCTTATTGAATTCTGTGAAATCGTGTGAAGACAGAGATATCCCTTTGTGGATGCTGGAAGCTTCTGGTCTACTTCCTCCGTTCCAAAATAGATGACTCAACTTTGACTAAAGTTAGTACAAAGTCTTGAGTAATCTATTTTAAAACGAAGGGAGTAGTTACTTTTACAAAATGGTTAATTTTGGTGGGATTCCATTTGATCTCAAAGTTTGTACTACTTGAAAAAATTAATGTTCCTCCAAATATTCATATGTACCTGTAATAAGCCCTCCAGATAATCTAGCTAAGCGCAGACATGTAGATGATCTATCTTGTGCCTTTTGTAGTGAACCTGAGTCTATTCTATATTTATTCTTTGATTGCATTGTTGCAAAGCACACCTGGGAACCTATTGCTCATAAACTTGGTATTGTTGTACCCTGTTCTTTCTCTAATTTAGCTGTTATCTGGAAACAAGAAAAGAAAGTTGAAGTGATTGCTATCTTCCATGTTGCTACCTTGTGGGGCTTATGGCTTTTGCGAATTAATATCATCTTTCGGGGTCAAAGGTGGCGAAGCCTGAAATGCATCCTGGCTTCGGTAGGTCCTCTGGTTCGACTGTTGTGCATCGGTGCTCAAGCTACACGGCTTCTCGAGTGTCTTCAGCTACTTGACCATCATTGTGGCGAGTTTCTTCGCATAGCTCGGTGTTGATTCCTTCCTTTCCGTTATGCTAAACGCTTATGTGCGCATTACCTGTAATAAGTCCGATGCAACTACTATCCGATTGTGGACAAGAGGTGTGAATCGTCTATGTGTTGGATGGTTTGCCTTCGCTTTTTTTAGTAAAACGTTGGGGTGGGCGAAAACCCCTTCTATATATATATTTATATATATATATATATATATATATATATATATATATATACATATATATATATATATATACACATATGTCTCATATACTACCATGTGATACTATACATACTATTTTATTATTTTAAATATGTTCATATATTATATCTAAGATATTTCAAAGCAAGTTACATGAAAAAATTGCATATGAGCCCATAATTTTTGTTATATTTGTAAAATACGTACATATTTATACGTAAAAATAAGCATACTCAAAAAATGGTACATACTACCTAAAAATTAGTATATATATATATACACATGAAAAAGCGGTTTGACCTGCTTTTCCCAAGAAACTTAATTACGAAATACCAACGCTCGGCGCTGAGACTGGCTGAAGCGCCATATCAGTCCGCTCGTGGGCCATTAGATGACCTTGCACCCAGTTGTTGGATCAGCATCGCACCCTCCCTCCATTAGTTTTCCTCTTATACGTCATCGCTACTTTGTCCACTCATTTCCCCCCTCTCGTACGCCTCTCATCCTGACGCCTTCCACAATGACGTGCTCGTGTGTCCTCACCCGGCCTCTCTGGTGCGTCTCATGCCTCCATTCACATCAAACTCCTACTGGCTCGCCACACTCGCAACGGCCATCGGCCAGCTCGCAACACCGCATGGTTGTCGACGCAGCCTCGCAGCTGTAAGTGTATCTAGTGCCCCTTTAGCGGTTTTGGAGTACTGAAGACAAATGGGTAAAGAGACTAATGTATTTATGAGCATACACAAGAGATAAAGTCCCCGAAGATTTTGGTTTAACCAAGGAAGTTGACCCCTAAAAATATATGTTTACATTGAAGAAATTGATGCGCCCTTAAAAGAAATTGAATTGAAGAATTGGAAGCTTGAAGACTTTGTTTTCATAGTTTCTTTCTTATTTATTTGAGTCATAAGAAACACCGCACTGTCAAAGGGATCTAGGTTACACATAGGCCTATTTTTGAAGTGATGCTCAAACCCAAACTTACCTATTTCTTTGAGTGAAGACTTTGGAAATCTCTTGCAGAGCAGTCGAGTTCTTCAGCGACAGAGACGAAGTTCTTCTGGTCGTTGATGAAATTGGTTTGACTGAAGAGTTAGGATCTCGCTAGTGCGACTCTACTATCGTGAGGAAATTGAGTGTTCAAAATATCCGACCGTTGCTGAGTAAGTGCCACCTGTTGAGTGGATCCTTATCCTGACAACGGTCGTGTCTGAAGGGCATGATGGTCTTATCATGTCGGGTTTCCCCAGGCTATAAATAGTCACCCCCCAACAACCATTTGTTGGTCGGCTGCTCTGAGTGATTGATTGACACGTGTCAATTAGAGCAACCCACCCTCCGAATTTGAGAGAATGCTAAGTGAGGAAAAAGCCAAACAACCAGAGTCCAAAGTGATTGAGCATTACTAAAGAATTTGTCATGTGTGATCCGACGCTTGTTACCTTTGAAGACTGTGATCTTCCAGATGGTTAGGCACCATCTTCTAAGCACCCAATAAGAAATAGGAGTGCCATAGAATGATTATGTGAAGGTTTTGGAAGTCTACCTTGAAACTTACGCCGAGTGATTGGGCGTGGTCTAAGTGAGCTTAGCTCAAGGGGAATAGGGTGAAGACTAAGTGTTCCTGAGTTAAATCTTGAGCCTCCCTAACCAGACATACAGTTTTCCCAGCAACTGGAACTGGTAAAAAAATCCATTATCTTATTTGAGCAATGCAGTTCTATTTCTTCAACTCTTTAATTTCCGCATATGTGTGTTGTAGAATTTATCTCCCTTCTCTTGAAGACTTTTACTAAAGACTTTCACAATTTCATCAACTCACTTTGCATTATGTTTGTCTTCAATCTTGTTGTACTTAGCTCATTCATCTCTGTGTTTGTATGCTTACATGTTATGCTACTCATTATGCATGTTCTATTTCGTCATGGCGACTTAGCCACTACTCTGATTCGCATGCATAGCATAGTGAATTCTCTATTAGGTTATTTATCACATGGATGCTCTTAAAAAAACCTATTTTTGAAGAATCTATTAAAATATCCCAATCACCCCCCTCTGGTCGATAATTTGCACTTTTAGCAGTCAGTCGCAACATTCATGAAGGAGTCACTACCGTTAACAGAAAGAGATTCAGTCAGTTGGACTCTCAAGCGAAGAACATCATTGTGGTCGTCTGAACAAAGGATAGTATGACCGCGTGAGTGCTTTGGATACCTCGAAGCTAATCTGGGAACGCCTCTCCAAAGGTAACGAGGGAGTTTCAACTCAATGTGACTCTTGCATTGATGTTATTCGGAATCTCCTCAACCACTTCAATAGGCTTCACAACGAGAATGTCCAGCAAACATTTGACCGTCTCACCGACATTTCCAATGATCTTCAAGCTCTTGGTTCCACAGACATCACCGACCATGAAGTGGTGAAGAAGTTGTTGAGATCCCTTAACAGTTCCTTTGTGTATGTCGGTGTTCTGGGAACGGGGGTCCCCAGACTTGCCTGCCTGCGGCCTGCGGCGTGGCTCAAGAGAAGGCCCAGTGCAGCCCAGCTTCATCAGCTCAAGCTCAAGACCCTCGCGAGGGGCCAAGCCTCGCGGGGCAGACGACAGGAAGCTTCCTCAAGAGCAGCCTCACCAGGCAGGCTCGCGAGGAGGCGGAGAGATCAAGGCAAGGGCACCTCGCGAGGAGCCCGTGACGCAAGCCATGACGATCGAGACCAGGCGGGCGCCAGGCGGGCGCCGGCCTGTGCAGTGTCCTTGTTTCCCCTTTGGTGCAAAGGGGGCAAGCACAGGCCAAGGCATCAGGCAAAGGTTACTGTTTCGGTGCAACAAGACCAAGACCAGCAGAGCGGTAGGACGGAGGTCATCGTGGAGCCTAGGACGACATCATCGTCAGAGTCTTTGGCAGTCGAAGACCAACTTTAGTCAGGATAAGTGTACTAGATGTTCCCCTTCAAAATAGTCAATTGTTGGCGCCCTTCCCGCTCATTATTTGGGAAGAGGCCCAGGGCCCCCCTCTATAAATAGAGCTAGCCACCACAGGGCAAGGGGATGGATCGAAGGGATGGATCGATCAGAGAGAGAGAGAGAGAGAGAGAGAGAGAGAGAGAGAGAGAGAGAGAAGCGATTGAACTCACCCAAGCAATTTATCGCACCAGCTCAAGAACAGCCCCTCGCGAGGTTGTTCCCCTTTGTATTGTTCATCATCAGCCCTTGAGGCAATCCACCACACCACACACTGGAGTAGGGTATTACACCACAATGGTGGCCTGAACCAGTATAAACCTCGTGTCCCTTGTGTGTTCTCCTTTCTAGCTTAGATTCCTTGCGAGGTTTCGAAACGTACGCTGGTAGGGGAAAGATATTCATGCGCACCCCAGAGTTCGAACCTCAAGGGTCTGCCGGAACCCAAAATCCGACATTTGGCATGCCAGGTAGGGGTGCGCCGGAATCTTTCTTCCGCTGGTCGCGTGTGATCTTTCGTCGTATCCATGGCTGACGCTTGCCGGGCTCGCGCCGAGCGTCGGGCTGCTCTCGCCACCCACGTCGCCCAGACGGCGCCCGTCAGCGGACGCCCCCGTCGTTCCCCATCGCCTGCCGCCAACGCCGCCACCGGCCCGGCGGGGAACGAGCAGCAGGCCTCGTCCCTGCATCCCTCGGTGCGGCGGGAAGGCCGCACCGCCACCCCGTCACTGACTCCAGCC